GGCTTCCTGTTTGGGGGCAGAAGTGACAAGGAAGATCCTGCTGCTTTAAATACTGTGAAAGGCTTTTTAGCCAAAAACATAATCCACCCACTACTAGGGAAAACACCATCCTCTGCAGCCCCATCCTACTTCACCATTCAGAAATGTCATCAGTTCCCCAGTGCTGCATTAATATTAAACTATTGAGCTATATTATCCTCAGACAGCTCTTAGTCTACAGCAAAAGCCCTGCAAAGTCTAGTTTCTCTGGGTGACTAAGCCAAGACGATCTCTGAGCAGAGGTTTCCAGATCAGGCCAATTGTGTTAAACTGGGAGCTCTCGCTGTTCTTTCAAGTACTCGCTTTCTTCCTGGGGCCAGGTACGGCCATTGTTCCCCCTGGGCTCCTGCAGACACCCATTGTTCCTCCGAGCTCCTGGCCTTTGATGCTGCGGAACAAAACGCACAGTGTTTGTGAAAGGAGGGAAAAATCAAAAAGCTTTTCAATTACACAGTTGGTTGAACAGCTCAGGCACAGCTGGCCGCAGAGCACCAGGGTGCCAGCACCTCTCCACAAAGTGAGGCCTCCAGCCAGGCCTCTAGCCCAGCTGCAAAGTGAACCAAAAGAGGGAATGACCAGTAGTTGATGGTTATCTGGTGAACTTTCACTTCATCACTACCCAATTCCAAATGCTCCTGGAGTGTACAGACAATCACTACCATCCTCATACATGCATTTAGTAGCTGCCAGCTGGAAAAAGCTGGAAATTATTCCCGCTTCATCCTGTCAGCATTGCTCAGAATTGGCTTGAGTGACACCACAGCAGCATCTAGATTTACTGCCTCAATTTCCAGACTAATTTGGCTGACACCAGGCTGGAGCTAGCTCAGCCCGAGTGGCGTTGGCAGAACAGGACAGAGGTCTGAAATTGTGATGGTCTTACAAGGAGGTCTGAGATGCAGCGGCAGGGTCACGTGGAAGGAGAGCCAGCAAGCTGGGATTCTCCAGTCACAGCTGGCAAAGTTGTTTCATGGTCCAGTTATGGACCCTTCAGGTCCTGCTGTGTAACACAAAGTTCCTGACGCTGCAGTGGTTTGGGCAAACACAGTGCTCTACCTTGTGTTTGGTACGCAGCTGTAAACGCTTTCTCTCATTGCCAAGACGACAGATCCCAGGATGTCAGAGATGTGAGGGGTCTTTCTAGTCCATCTGGGTCTGTCACCTGAGTCCATGCTAATATCTTCTGCAAAAGAATAGGCAGCGCCAGGGAGAGAGCTCTCCGGAAGGATCTATCTATGGAAAAAGCTAATAAAATAATAAGAAAACACTTGCACAAAAAAGGGCCAGCCAGCCGGATCTTCCTGGGACAAAGGCACTCACACTCTCTTTTACAAATATATTTTATTATTTTAATGCTTATTAAGAAATGTAACCAAGACAGACTCAGCAGCACCAGCGGCTCCTCACTGCCCAGCAGTCTGATGATTTCACAGATATGAAAACTTCACAGATTCAAAAAAACCTTTGGTCAACGCACTTTAAATACATTTGCATGCACAGACTCTCCCACCCCCTTCCCTCCCCTCCCACTGGTAACTGACAAACAGAGGGAAAACAACAACTATATTCATAAAACATTTAAATTAAAAGAGTAATTGGTTTATAGTGACAGCGTGTGCAGCAGGGTGTTCATAGTGTCTTGGTTTGCAGACCACAGAGACAACCGCTCCACAGGACAGGGGGCAGGAACACCAGCTCATGAAACAGTGGGGGAAGCAAAGGATGTCCTCAGATCGACAGGTTCCAGTCTTCATTTTAACACTTCCTTGTGTGAACAGTCCCAGCAGACAAATAAGACAGCGAGTTACACACAACATGCCCCAGTTTTGGGATTCTTAGTCTGTCAGGGTTAGTCATCTCTCATGCAAATGAGGAACTGGTGTGGTTTTAGTTACTCTTGATGTGTTTTACCGTAAAGAAGGCCAAAAGCTCAGGGCTAGAAAGAAAAAACTCTCCGGTATGACTCAGTGCAGTTTGATGCCCAAAACAAATTGGGAGAGAACTGACTATTAGGCAGCTAAACTTAGCAAACACCACTAGAGAGTATTCTACAGTTTTAATGCATCGCAGCACTGTTGCAGCATGCTTGTCCTTCCCACATAACACAGCTGGATTGATTTCGTTTTAGGTAGGGCTCATGGTCACGAAGCAGAAGGGCTTTTGTTATACCTGGACACGCTCATGAAATGAGACAATGTATGTGAAAAGGAGATAATCCGTAAGAACCATTTCTACCTCAGTCACATATAGACCATATAAAGTCAACCCTCCGCACACATCAGACAAAGTTTCCCCTCTGCAGTGACCCCAGGAGAGCTGTAAGACTGTACATCCTTTCCAGAGTCCTTCCTCAGCAAGTCACACCTTGGTCTCATGCCAGCACCATCTGTGCAATCCCCAGCACCTCCCAGCACATTCCTGCTCCCCTGAAATCCTCCCCAACACCTACCCTACAAATCTTCCTTCACCACCAAGATTTCCCGTCTAACCCTAACCCTGCAGCCTGCTCCCACACCTCGGAGACATTTTTATATCCACCAGCATCCCCTGGAGCCTCTTTTCAAAGAATGATCAAAGATTCAGACTACTCCATGTAACTCCCAAGTCCATCTGCACAATAAGCTTCCTACCCCCAACGGGGATCAGTGGCAAACCCTTTGTCTACAGTAACCCCAGCTGTCCCACCACGCCAAATGGCTTCTCTGTTCAAGAGCTGCAGTTCAAGCTTGCACAGAGCTTTGAAATACTACTGATCCAAAAGAAACTCTGCAGGACAACGCTGTAAGTGCATTTATTTGCACACACAAAAGCAGTGCCCTATTGAAGAGAGGGCCCCAAGACAAACTCTTGATAAAATTACTCCTGGCAACTGATCAAACTTTACTTTCTCCAAAACTCTATAAAGCAAATAAACCCTGGAGCCTAAGAGTCTCCAGGGAATGGTGAAATTCCTGGAATGCCCTCATGCCAAAGGAGGCACCACATCTCTCTATGGGTCTTCGGCCATTTTTAGTAAGAAGTTCCAGTTCAATGAAATCAGTCTCTTCTCACTCTCTGGACCTACTGCACCTTGGATTCCCAAGGAGGTCTTCTCCAGCCTCTCCTGATGGTCAGCTCATTCTTTCCTTTGTCTTGGTACCATCTTTGTTTATCCAGAACAGCTACATTTCATCAGCTAAAAATTCTCCAGCTGGAAGGAAAATGGGGATGTGAGTGGGGAGGTCAGGAAAAAATCATTTAACTTTCGCTTTTCTAATGATCCCTGCCCTATGCAGTTTGGAAGACAGGTACTTTTCTCAAGAGTGGAGAGTGCTGCCAGGAGAAGGAAAGAGCACATTTCATTGATGGGACTCCACAGCTGCGCTTTTTTTTTTTTAAAAGAAAAAAAAAAGGCGCATAAGCCTTGAAGTCATGATCCCTAGGAAACAAGAAATAAGAAGTCCAAAATTCTGTTCAAAAGCCTCATGCTTCCCCCCAACAACTGCTTCAGAAACATCTTCTGAAGGTCCATCTCAGACATATGTTTGCCAGAAGGCACACAGCATGTGGTGCAATTGCCATCCCTTCCTTCCTGTGACTACAGACTTCCAATTCTATATAAAACACGCTGCGTCCTTACCCCCACTGCACTTCCTCCTGCACACATCCCCTGGCCCCTTCACACACCCTTTTCATTTCAAATCTGGATCACGAATACTGAAAGGGATGGGACACATTTGGGGGGCATCTCAAACAGCAACAGAAAAGCTAATTTCAAGACATCTGGAAACTCCGTAAGGTCAGATGGCAATCTGGTTGGGCAGGAAAGTTTTCCAGAGGGACAATCCGAAGTTTGTCTCATCAACATAGATCAACTTGATTCTTGTGGCAACCAAGCAAGAGGCTACCATAATTGAGTGTGAAGAAGCTCAGGATACAATAGAAAGCAACCAACCCACATCAGCTGTTGAAAGTCTGATGCAATGTGGCACAAAACATCCCTTTACAATGGCAACCAAAGCTCAATAGGAGACACTTGGGCACTCGCGTGTGTTCCAGCACATGAGCGATCCTGGTATTTTCCCACACTTCCTTCCCTGCTCTGCTTCTTTGTGGACCTAATTGTTATTGACATGAATGCCGGATGTAATCTTGTGTTATTCTTAGAAACATTTCAGCTCCCAGCTGAGGCCTGAAGAGATCAGACCCCCATTTTCCTGACTGACTTCCTCCGCCACTGTTGCAGGAGGTCAGAGGAGCCACCTACAGAAATATTCCATCAAGAAAGATCAAGAGTAACAAGATCCCAAGTCACCCTACAGAGGAACTACCTACAACGTCAGTTACAGAGAAATGGCTTACTGTTTGTTAATGGTGCTGGAGTGATAATCCACTCCTCTGACGTTAGACTACGTGGAAGAGCCGTGCCAAGAAAGCAGCAATTCAATTAAACTCTGATGTCTATTGTTCTACAAGCTTGCCTGTCTTTCTGCTAAGGATTGTGGTGGCAACCACATCTTTTTATCCATCTCACAGTAAGCTTTGTGTTAGCTTGGAGCAGTTACATACTCGAACACGTTCAGCATTATAAACTACTCCCCACCTTCACATAGGGAGACTGGCAGAAAGAAAATTCTCCTCAAATAAAACTGACTTTTCATTTTAATAGTTCACAATATTTAAAATAAACATGGAATAAGAACACACAAACCTAACCTGCTCTTCCTCAAATATCAAAATCCAGTTCCCCTTTCCTTTCTGAAAATGAAATTATTTGGCTTCTGAAATGTTAGTGGACAGACACAAAGAAAAGCCAGGTTTGGGGGATGATATTTCTGATGTTTTCAGCTAGGGAATAAAGCTTCAGATCCCTGGAATTACCAGACTTTTGGTTTTCCAGTAGGACCATTACTGCCTGTCTCTCCAGAAGGCTGGTGGTGTTGGACATGGATTACTTGTCTGGAAAAAAAAAAAAACAGACAATCTTTCAGTAGAATTCAAGCTGATGTGGCATTCTGCTGTCCTTGAGCTACCAGGCTTCGTAAGCGATACAGAAAATTATGAAACTGCTGTGGAACACCTCTACAACTAACCACATCAGTGCATACACTTGCTGCAGCACAGATTTGCCTGTTCTCTTACACAGACAGACTACTGCAGTTTCTAAGCCAATTTCCACTACTACTGACTTCTTTCAGCTTCTCAGAGTAGGAGCATCTTCTAACCAGACCCAGCTCTGTTGGCCTCTGCACTGCAGGGACAAATCAGGCTTCACAGTAAAGCACATCAGGAAAAAAATGAAATCACAGGAGAAAAGATGTTTAAATAGAGCTTATTGGAATTCCAAAACTAAGTGTTGGGTAGTGTGTGTGTGTTCCTCCCTATCCCAAGAAAGAAGAAAAAAATCCCACAGCCTTTTGAGTGAGGACAAAAATGACCACAATACGGAAAATCAGCTCCCCTCACACACATATGGGGCCATGGAAAGAATTTGCATTCTAGGAGCTCAGGAGGACAAGCACAGAGACGGGGGGGAAAGCAGACAGTGCCCACCAGCCTACAGACAGCTCACACGCCCGACAGCTCTTTGCAACACCTCAGGGCACAACTGCCCCTCTGACACAGACCACAACCTGGCCTGCTTGTCTACTATCTGCAGCATCAAGTACTGCTAACAGCCCTTTTGCTACGGGAAACCCATATTACAGACTTTTCATTATTTGTTAGATGAAGTTGAGAGCTATGAGGTTATATTTGCCTTGTGCATCTGGAACATTGAGCGCTCTGGGAATGGATATGAGTTCTTGCCCATTTTTATAACTTAACATTAAGTAATCTTATCAAGACAAGAAAAAAAAAACATTTGAGCAACCTGTTGCAGTATAAGCTTTAAAAACATGAACTGAAAGACGAAATGCCATGGCTGAAGGTATCCAAAGTTCCATCAGGTAAATTCCTTCCCTGTCCAAGCAGCTGCTGGCATCCTTCCTGACCAACAGATGTTGCAACCCCACTTCTGTTTGTTGCAGGGCCAAAGTACTAAAAGGCCCCTTTCCCCGTTGCTCTTTGCAGTTCAGCGAATGCTTCCAGCCATGCTTTTATTTCTGTTGGTAAAGACAGCAAAACCAACACGCAACCACAGACACACAGTACAGCGTAATGTTATGATATGCCCTGCATCAGCAGGGTCTCCCAGTGCTGAACTTGGAATGCCATCTTTGACCTTGGCACTGCTCTTGGTGACAGGTCATCGATGGCTCATGTGTCCCTCCTTCCTTAGTCCATTTCAACGGTCTCTTGGCTTTTCTCCAGTCTAGTATTTAGGATCATCCCAACAGTCCTGGGTAGGGCCCCCTTTCTCCACAGCGATCTGAATACACACCACTCCCCCCGCTCCCCAACCTCCCTTTCTGCCACGGCAGAGGTCACCAATGGAAAAAAAATAATTCTACCAGGAAGACCTTGAAAGTCTCATCAGGAAACATCAGCTGCTGCGAAGGCTGCTCTTTCCAGATCTGAGTAAGACACCTGGGCATCAATTAGCTCTTCACTGTGAAGCTCCCTGTTCATGCACGCATCTGAGAGAATCCCATTTTTGCAGGAATGTGGGAGGTGCCCATTTGTCTCCACGTCCAGAGCATTTCCATTCTGGTGCCATTCCAAGCCAGCTTTGCATTTGTTTAAGTCCTGCTTTTCAGGATCCCTGTGGATCTCTCCATTGGTGTATACTTCTAACGCATACTCACTGATTCGTATGCTGGCGTTCTCTGCGTCCCCACCATGAGTGGAAGTCCTAGAGCTGGCCGTTCCTGCCTTGAATGGCTCCTTCCGGCCCAGGATATGCTGGCTGATGATTTTACGGAAGGTGTATCGGAACTCCCTGATTCGGTAGGCATAAATTAGAGGATTTACAACCGAGTTGGCATGAGACAGGATGATAGCCAGATACATCAGCCACAGGGGAGCATGGGCACAATTTGGGCAAAAAAGGGTAAAGCAGTTAATAATATGTAGTGGAAGCCAGCAGACTGCAAACAACCCAACAATGATGGCTAAAGACTTAGCTGCATGGACTTCCTTCTGCAAAGTGGAGCGAGAACGTTCCCCGTGTACCATCTTGTTCTCCATCTGCTTGAGCTGTCGCCGGGCTGCCATGAAGATTTTCAAGTAGATACCAAACATGAGGAGGAGGGGCAAGAGCACACAGGCAAAGAAGTTGTAGTAGACCATGTACTCCATGGTGACCACAGCCTCAAAGAGACATGCCACCATACTGTTGCTGCAGTTGATGGGAGAGGACTTATTGGAACCCAGCTCTTCGATCTGGGAGCGATTGTGCCACCCTAGCATTGGTGTCAAGCCGATAATGAAAGATAATACCCAGCAGATGGCAATGATACCTTTAGCTCGAGAGCCAGTCACCAAGCCATTGTACCTATAAAGTAGAGGAAATGGGAATTACATCAGTATCATTCAACAAGCCCAACACCCAAGCAACTTCCCAATGGCCCAAAAGACAGAAGACAGCAAGAAAGGTGTCTGCTTCTCAGAGGGACCTTTGAATCGCCGTGCAGAACTCACACAGCACAGCAGGGACCATGGTGACATTGTATGCCACGAATTTCCCTCCCTTTCCTTTAGGCAGTGAATAGGTGACAGAAAAGCAGGGAAATTAATACAGTTTTCATCTGTGTTCCTTCACTCCACCAGCCCTATTGGTCACGCACATAGATCTTGCAGCCTGGATAACCAACGGCACTGCTCTGACCCTTGGTGATGAAGACCACCGTGGCTCTCCTGCTGAAGGCTAAGGCAGTTCCTCCTTTCTGGCAAAGGAGCAGTCTTGTAGCATGGAATTGCTAGGTCTGTCTTACAGTAGATCTGTAAGCCAAATAGCACAAACGAACTCGCAGACACAGTGCCATCGGCCCCGTGTCCACGTTCAGGTGTGCTCCAGGGAAATTCTGCTGACTCATTTGCAGAAGCCAGGCTGGCGTTGCCTTACACAGCACCTCACTCTGCTCCTCCACAACGGCACTTTCAACGGCACCAACCTTCCTTCAATAACTGAGACTAGTCAGCAGTTTTCCTCACCAGCCCAGCTAAGCTGACCCCATGTCTTTCTCAGAAAGGAGGAATTAAGCTGAGGACAGTGCTCTGACTACAGGTGTGCTGTGGGCTGCACTGCACACACCAAAGGGGACTTCAGTGGGGGAGGTATTGATATGCTTGGCTGAAGCAAGTGCTCTTAGCAGTAAGTTCTCCAAGATCTGTTGAAAGAGACAATAAGCAACATGGTAAGAATCTGACAGCGCAGCCAGGGACCTTGGTTTGTTTGAAATATCAGCCAGTTCCCAAGGCCTCACAGGTTATTGCAAGTCCTGAGCTGACTCCACCAGTTCTTCTCTCTGAAAATGTAAATCAGGGCAACAGTTTAACATTTCAATGCAATTTCCTTCCCTTGGTAATGCTTAGCATGGAAAGTAGATGGCCAGATTCCCACATTGTCCAGCGTGGGTCCCACACTGTACTTGACCCCATGTGTCTGCGATCAGACAACAGTAGCGCTGGGCTTCCAGTGTTTACCCAATGCTCCTTCTCCCTCTGTCCCCAGAATTCTCTCAGCAAACAAACATATAAAAAAAAAAATAATCCAACAAGCCATAGAAATCTTTCCATCTCTCAATGAAATAGTTACTCCCACAGGTTCATGCTCCTATCCCAATGCAAGTTCAAGACAGGGGAGGAGAAAGGCTGCTTTTGCCGGGCACAGTACAGAAGCAGATCCTGCACGTGCTTTAAATACCTGCTGATGGGCCTTGGAAAAAACCTGGCTCCACACAAGACCCGGCAGGCTTGTGTCTCCCTTCCTCAGTTGTATTTCAAAATCAGAAAAGAGGGAGTGAGGGAGGGAGTCAACCACACAAATTCCCAGTACCCAAAATACACTGAAATCCTCCTTCCAGAAATAAGGCAGGGATTCAGCTGATTCTGAGAGATAAAAAGGTTTCTCCAGCAAGTAGTGGATCCTGCTCAGTGCTTAGGGGATGCTAAGGGCACAGGATGGATGGTAGCAGGGAGCTGCTCACATTCAGACCTCATCAACACAGCAAATCAGTATCTGAGCTTTGAAAAGTATACTCAGGGAGCAAGAGATTGGCTGAAGGCACTTGAAGCTTGAAAAATAAAAGACAAACAAAAAAACCCTCAAAACCCTGCAGCCCTGGAATTGGCTACATCTTGTCATAGGAATTTTGAAATTGTGCAGCTGTTATCCCACGACTAGAGATGTCCCTTCCCTTCCACTAAAAATATATTCATTGCTGCTCCAGGCAACCACCCCCCTACTTCTCCCTCCCTCTTACCCTCTGGGGATTCCCATGCAACAAACTTTACAAGGCTTAGAAACAGCACTTAACCCAAGCAGCCGCCTGCTTTCCAGCTGCAGTGTATTGTGCTGGCAGTGGCAATTATCAACTTATTGGTGAGTGCATTTCCATAACGCCTTGGTTGGTATCTCCAAGGGTTAAGAGAGAAAGCTCACAGCATCTCGTGACATAGTGTGCGGCACTACGTTGGCCAGGTACCCACTGAGAAGTGTTCATTCTCTTGGGAGAGCTTAATTTCTAGGATCCACGTGAGACACCTCTGGCTGACTTGGCTGAAGTAGCGTTATTGCCCAGGCGGACTTTCCTGGACTCGTTCCTTTTGTCCACTCAGAGATGTCACCAGGCTGGCATCAAAGAGTTTGTGCACCTGTCTAGGCATCTTTCTAGGCTCACAGCAGCCAGGCCAAAGCTGCTCTCTGTATCCCCAGTGCTGTACAGCTCTACATGGTAAGTTCAGGGCTTCCAGGAAGCATCACACATACTGTGAGTTGCTGGCACCTATGCAGCAGACACAGCCTGCTGAGAGGAGGTGGTCACACCTACAGCCCGTGTTCTGCATAGCTCGCGGGTGACTTTGTACCATGTCTGATGTGTCCAGACAGCACTGGATTGTCTGTGCAAAAGCAGTTCTCGTGCTTCCTGGAAATACTGGACTTGCTACACAAACAACGACTTCTACTCGTGAAATTCCAGACACAAAGAACATGAGCGCAGAGCACAGGGACGCTCACGGTGGAGTTGTGTATGGGGATAGGGTCACCTGACTCCTCTAGAAAACAAAATCCACTTTTGCAAACACAGGGAAATGTGGATGTTTTCCCCAAAATAATTTCACCTGCCCTGCTGCTCTCCCAGCCATCAGGCTGGCAAACTGACTCCAGGAGAACAGCTGCCCTTGGTGAATGCACAACTCATCTGTGCTGCCTAGAGTAACTCGGCTGAAGATGTGACACTTCTGAGTCCTTGGCCTAAGGTCTGTGTCACCGAGACAATGATTCCTGCACAAAGTGTAGTACCTCACCAGTCTGATTCATAAACTATCAAGCTGGGTGGAAGACAGAGCTGGTATAAGAACTACAGCATCCTCAGGTAGAAGTTAAAAATCTTTCCATGCATTGCATGATATGTAGCTGGCCTAACTCATCGTCACAGCATCCAACCAGCCTGCTGCTTGTCTTCCAAACTCACCTCTGGTTGACAGCACTGCACATCTTGGCCAGATGGCTCTGCCATGCACGGAGCACATTTCAGCCACCTTTACAGCACCACACCAGAAAGCCCGTGCTCAGCACTGGGGGCGCTGGGCTTTGATCTGAATTCCAGCAGTGCTCAATGATTTTTAACAAATCACTGCAAAACACTGTTCACTGAACACATCCACTCAACAGCCCCCACCTCAGGCAGCTGCAGTCATAGGAGGCAAGACAAAAGGAGGATATTCTATCCCTATTACATGTATCTGGAAATGAGAAACACTGACAATCCCAGATCATCCAGGAAATCTTGTGGCAGAGCAAGAAATGAAACCCAGACCTTCTCACGCACCATCTAAACAACCCTTTCCCAGTATTCTCAGTCAAGAAACTTTCCCCCCTATTACCAGGTGCTAACTGATACTAGTGCTTGTCTATGCTATGGAGACAGGGTAGGTGGGATCCCACAGGTGGGTGCAGGGCTCTAAACAGCAGAGGCAATACAGGTGGACAGGTGCCGTTCTTTTCCTCGTGGCACGATCAGCTTCCAGGATAAAACCTTGGTAACAGCAAGTTCCACTGCAGCCCATGAAGCCATAGACAACTGGCACTGCTTTCGAAGCCATGCCCATGCTTGTTCAAAGGAGGAAGTGAATTATCCTTCTTTCATATTAGGCTGAAACTGCCCATCATCTCTTTGACACAAACATGAGTGCATGTAGGAAACGCTCGTCATAAAGTCAAAAGGTTTATGGTGAGCAGGGAAAGAAATAAGTCCAGATATGGCTCAAAGTGACATTAAATCCCTGATTCACCGATTCAGATGCTCATATATGAGCATTTGAGAAGGCAACCCTAGAGAATTAAAGCAACTGCTGACACAGACTGTTCTCAGCACAAAGGCCCCTTCCACATCCTATACTTTATTCAGGGTTTGTGTTCATCTCCCCTGTTCTTCCTGCCCCAGACTTTGAGAAGCCAGTTCTTCATGTCCAGCTCCCCTAGCCTCTGGCAGAAAAGCATCCCAACACAACCTCAGAGCTGCAGTTTCAATCACCACTACATGGGATAAATCTGTCCCAATGTTCCAGACATCAGGGAGCTGCACCTTAGTAAAGCTTTCCCAGAGAAGCATCCCAGTAGCTCAGGCAGTCATCTCCAAAGCAACTTTCATCAGAGGAAAAGGTCTGCACTTCAGCAAGTTACTGTAGTTGGCACTGTTTGACCTGTGTAAGTATTTTTGCCACAGGTGAATACCTGAATTCAGCACACAGAGCAAGCAGTAACCTGAGAAAACTTTTCCGTTTGGCTGCAGGAAGAAAAATTTCTCCTCTCTTTCCAGTGCATCAGAGCTACCTGCCCTTCACCATGGGAGTATCTTTACCACAAATGCCTGCACAAGAACACGTGGCTGGGCACCATGCCTGCGGAGCATTTGCTGGCACCAAAGAGCCTGGAAAGCAGCAATTGTTCTTGGCCCATGACTTCATCCTGGAGCTCAGACTCCCAGTGAGTTTTGTTTAGAACACCCAGGGGTTTTGTATCAGCAAGCGTAGGTTTTCAGGTACCTGCGATGTTAGAGACACAGTTTGGATTTTATCCTAGACCAAACAATGGCTCCGACTCACTTCCTTAGGAGTGCTTTATTGCCACTTGCAGAGTGTTACATTTGTATAAAACCTGGCAGAATTCAGCAAAGTGTTTGAGAACTTTTGGAAAGTTTATCAAATTCTACACAGTATTTTAATAATTTGAAAGGTAGAACCCATAAGATGTTCACAAGTTAGTTTTTCTGTATTTTTAGATTTTACCTATAGATGTCCTTCCTCACTGCAATTTTTTGGGGGAGGGTCTTTTATCCCCAGAAAAATCGTTCCAAAGATAACTCTGATTATGTACTGAGCTGTCCAAAACTAAGCAGTATCAGAAATCCCGCTCTTCTGCCTCCTTAATACTGATAGTTTATTTGTGTGGGAACACACATCCACATATGTATCCACTGAGACATGTGGTTACCTTCCTTAGGACAAATGAGACATGAAACAGTTACAAAGAAAAAGAAGAAGAAAAAGTAGGTTTGGCCCTTTTCAGTTTTGCTAGAGTGAAGGAAGTCTGATTTATTATTTTTTTAAGAGCATTCATCTAATGAATATTAGGAATGCCTGGTGTTACCTTTCTTGTCCTCTGAGGAGGAGAGAAGAGGCTTTCCCAGGCATTAAAGCATGGGGCAAAAACATTGCGTCTTTAGTGGCAGAACTTTCCTTCCACTGGTTTGACACGTTTTTGAGACAACCAGATATTAGAAAAAGAAAAAAATGAGGATGTGAGCGGTCTGAATCATACCACATTTCCCTCTTCAGCTAATCAGCTTTCACTTTCTCAGCATGTCTGAGGCTATAAATCTAATGCTTATTCATCCATAAATTCGTAAGGGGAAACACAATTGACAAGTTCTTCGCTCCTACTGTAAAAGGACAAACCAGCAGAGGACAAGGAGGGGGAGGAATCCACGGATCTACCTGTGGGTTTCTGCATCCAATCAACTCCACTGTTCTGGGGTGGAAGAGGGTGTGCTCTGTTTTTTCAAAAACAAAATAGCGAAACTGGTACCGTGCCCAGCACTGATGAAGTCTGATTTTTCTAAAAGACTCTTTACCTTGGCTATTCCAGGAAATTAAATTTTCAAGACAATATAGTTATAGTGATACCCCCCAAAATGGGCAGAAATCCAGATTTTTAAAATCCTTTTCCTGGCAAGTCATCCTCTAGCAAGAAGAGCGCTTAAACTGTCAGCAAAAGTCTTCAGAGTTAGCTCATGAGAGATGAATTAAAGGCATCAGCCCTTCTCAAAATCATTTCAGAGGCAAGCTCCTGAGGGCTACTCTACAGATGTTTCTTTAGCATTTATCCTTATTTTGGTTTATAAACTGAAACCATCTCTATGTAGAACTGTGGAAAAGCTGAGACAGTCCAATTTATAGGTAACTGATATCAATAGAGTTTCTCTGCAGTGGAATGCAATAGTTATTCCTTACAACTACATCAAAAGGAGAGGCTGTAACAGGTATGACTATAGGTTTGGAAACCAACAATTAACGGTAACATTACAGCAGCACAAGGTTGCTGAGGCAAGGCTTCAGGAAAGACTGTGCTGCACTGGTCCACATGAAAAGGTAATCTCCGCAGCTCTAGGGAAAATAATGCTTTCTATTTTTTAATGGGAGATTTGTGTTAATTGACATAAGTGCTGGATGACCAAAGTATTCACAAGAGACAAAACTAAATTGCAGAGGTCAACACAAGTGATTTTAGCTCAACAGGAGTGAGGATGTCCAAAAACTCAAACTTGAGAGCACAACAATCAGAAATGTGTTCCATTTTTGCAGCCACATTTGTTGTTCAGGATAGGAAGCAAGTCTCTCCATTCCTGAGAGTATGCTGCATCTTCCTAAGGACAAGGTGGGAAGGAAGGAGACTCCTACACTTTGTCTGCACCGGCCTCTCCCGGGGATTCCTCTACATCTTTTGAGCTTACTGAATGACTCGGAAGCATTGTCACACAGCATTCAAACCCAGCCCACAAAACGCAATGCTGCTTCACGCCCACGGTCAGATATATCCCGTCACAACAACGTGCTTCTGCAAAACTGAACTGAGTGACAGCCCCTGCGCGTGTGGCAAAACTTCCCCTTGTCTCACACCAGCCTCCCTGGTTCCACACAAAGTAGCAGCTAGTCATATTCGGCTTTCAAGCTCTAATACTGAAACATCCTTTTCTTCCTTTAAACTCCAGAGTAGAGACCACAGAATAACCATCTTCAGGTCTGGGTCGGGACAAGCCTCTGCCTTGATCTAATACATGTTTGCTTCCAGAGGCAGTGCCTAAACTAGTCCAAACCTTCGTAAGGCCCATTTCTTCATAGCCTGCTGCTTCTCCTCCCTTCACATTTAATGGACCCCCAAGATAAAACCCCCATCCACAGCCCTGCTGCTACAGCTGCAGGCAGAGTCCCCCATTCTCCCCATGGGGAAGGAGACAAGCTGACCTCACCCCCTTTCTACCCTCCACCATGTATTGCTTTAGCTCCACTTTCCCCACAGCGATCCTTCTGGTGCTGTTGGTGGCAGCTCAGTGCACAGGTTATTGATGTTACCACACGATCCTGTCTAAATATGGAACGGCAGCTCCTAGGCAGCGCCGATGTGATGACATGGGCATACACCGTATGAGGACAGAGAAGAACTGGAAAAAGAAGCAACCAGAAAGTCCAGCAGCCAAGGCAAGCCTTCAAGACCTAGAAAAGTTTTTTTCAAACTAGAAGATAAAAAGCGCTGATCCTCATTTAACTTTTCCTTCCTCGATTCATCTCCAGATCTGTTGTTTTTACTGACGTTCATCCCTCACCACCCTAGCTCCCCTCTGTCCTCCCAGCCCAACCCGTGCTTACCTGAGGGGTATGCGGATCGCAATGATTCTGTCGATGGCAATAGCAAGGAGGCTGAAGATCGAACTCTGAGTCAAGACCAGGACAAAGCAGGCGATGAAAAGGCAGCCATAGAAGAAGGCACAGAAGCCAGTGCTGATGGTGATGGCAAAGGGGATTGCCAGCACGCCCACGGCAATGTCAGCAGCAGCCAGGGACACCACAAAATAGTTGGTGACGTTCTGCAAGTTGCTATTCAGATAGACTGCCCAGCAGACCAGGATGTTCCCCAGGATGGCCAGCACTGCAATGACCAGTTCCAGGATGATGTAAGCTATGTCTGAGAGGAAGTCTTCTTTCCCATGTACTAGCATGGTGAGAACAACCAGGCCAATGTGAGAACGTGCCAGAAAAGCTCAGCGTTCATATCTGCAGAGCACTGAACAGCCAAGACACCTCAAAGCTGTCCGGGGTCTGAAGAGCACTCAGCTGCCAACCGGTGAAGGTTGCTCACACGCACCCTTTTTTCCCCATAGCTGTTCAAGATCTTTACAGTAGCAGGTGTCAAGAAAAAAAAACAAAACAAAACAGGGCTTGCCAACTCCAGCAAAGTAGATTAACCAGATGCAGAATAATTCAAACTCCAGAAGACAAATGGACAGGAGAATATCTCACGTAGGCATACACTCCAGCCCAGGCCAGAAAGTCCAGCAGGCAACACAACACAGAAAGTGTATTGTATGGCAGCGTCACATCGGCTATGACTTTTTGTTTCCTGTTGACAACCACACTGCTAGTCATGGCTTCCTGTCATGTACATACCTACTAGCAACATCCTCCAGTTCTCTTTTTCACCTTTTCCCACTAGGACTTGGGAAATATCCTCTTCAGCTGAAGCAAGCATTCAACTTCTTCACTTGTAGTTTCCTTTAAGAAAAAAAAAAAACAAAACAAACACCAACCACATACACTAAGTAATCAGCTCTATGGAGGAGATGGAAAAAGCAAAATCTCATTAAAGTGGCACATTAAATTGATAACGGATATTAAACAGACCTAGAAGAATACATCATTGGCAAAAATCTCACATTTTGTCTATCCTGAAAGCTGCAGGGCCAAACCCAAGGTTCAGGAAGGCAGTATTTCACATTGGTGATGAGAAACAAGGGATGTTTTGTTTTCGAGGCTACCAACTGAGCTGGCACTTTAGCAGCTGCTCAATAGTCTGCCCTGAAACACGAGAGCCCACTAATTATGCCTTGGCAAGTGCTGTGGGTGCACAGAGGAAAGGTGGAGGAGCCTTTTTACATACACCTGTCTCCCTCTGATCACAAACACAAGACTTGAGCCATCACGTGCTGCCCACCCTCGTGTACTTTGCCACAAAAAAGTGCTGCACCAATACCCTGCTCTGCAATGACATGAACCTTCTCTGGTAAGGGGGTTATGTTGCTGGCATGTATGGTCACCACTCTGTTGCCATATCCAGTCTTTCCTTCAAGCGCACAGAATCTGGAATGTGATCAGCAGCAGGGAGAATAGTTCGAGCAGGGAGAATATGTCAGACAGTGACATCTTTGAGGACTTTTCCGCTGAGTATGCACACTCTCTGCAAGGGTCTCTGCAACGCCATCATTTTTGTTCACGTAAATCTTTATCCTACAAGCAAACCATTTATTCATTATACCTGCATTGTCCATAGCGTTTGTTGCATCCACAGATTCAGGTCAGCATCATTTTTCAACTACAATCAGCCAGAAACACACTGACCAAGATACACCTCTCCCAGAAACACACACATAGGCACAATGCTAACGTCATCTCTCAAGCACACACTCATGTTCCTGGGGGATCGTGCACACAAATCTGGGACTAAAGTTGGTGCCATTTGCAAGGAAACATAGTCCCTACAGCTGCCATTTCATATGAACAGATACACATCATCTATATGCTTGCATGCCCCACTCACACACTAATCTTGCAGGTCACCTCGTACCTCTGCTTTCAGATACGGGCATTTCACCACAGTTGCGGCTAAAAATATAGCAATGGAGAATACCATTCCCTGAGCTTTGTGCCACAGTCAAGAGAGAATTGTTTGCTGTCCTACCCTGTCACTTCTAGAGTGGGTTTTCAACCTTATTTAGCAAGCTTTAGCAGTAATATTTTCTCAATAATTTAAGAAAATGGCTACTCGAAACTCAGAGGGCTGGGGGAGAGAGAGACACAGCACTAACTGATAAATCACTTGAGCTCAGTTTCAGATGCAACATGAGCCCCCCAAACAAAATATTTTTGGGACCCCATCCACAGGTGATCTGGTGTGGTCTAACCCAGCAGGGTTTCATGCCTTCACAGTTCACTCTGTTTTCAAGTCAGAAACCTAATTTCTCAGGATAAAATAAAAGGGTAAAGACAGTGATAATAAAAGAAAATACAATTAACTTGTGATTCACATCTGATCTCAGGAATATAATCTAATTTTAGACCTTTCATTGATTTAGAGCTCTATTGCTAATGCTGCATTTGAAAGGAAAGTGAATGATTCTTAGTGGTTTGGATGTGCTTCAAAAATCTAGCTTTCTCTCCACCTTCAGCAATCTTGTTTATGTGTTTTGTTTGGTTTGTGTGGAAGAAATCAACAGAAGAGATTAGTTTGTGAACTAGCTATTAAGAGGAAGATAAAGATCATCCATTTAATCTTTTCTGAAGAACTAAAAACCCCAAGAAGTTTCTATATTGTCTATCTTCTTTTAGCAAAAACTCCAGTTTTCCACTGACCTCCTAAAGATTGCTTCTGCTTTCTTGTATTTCAGGGATGTCAGTGACATGCTCCTACATCACTCTGCTAGCATCTCATTGTCCATTACAAATCCCAACAGGTTTGTTTCAAAGCAGTGATACTGAAAACTAACTCCCTCACCCCAGCCTGACTTCCAGGGAAGGTGATTAGAATTAATATAAGATAGAAATAAAGAAAATCTGGAAGGAGAGAAAACAGAAAGGGCAAGATGAAAAATAAGCAATGCTTTGTGTGTGTGTGTGAGCAAGAAAGGGAAAAAAAGACAGGAAAACGTTGGTAGGAGAAAAAAAAAAAAGAAACAAGGGAAGCAGCAGGCAAAACAGGCCCTTAAGAGAAAGACAGTGTGTGTGCCTCTCAGAGGTACGACACACGGCTGCGCCTGAAGGTTCTGAAGGAGTGTGAGCTCCCGTGTCTGTTCGCATCACGGCAGCAGAGACGGTGATGGGGTAATACTCTGGCAATGGAGCAGGGAGCGTACAACCTCTCTGCTTCCTAACACGCTCACATGTTTCCATGCAGGTCAAGCTCATAACCAAACTCCCATGTCAGGACAAGTTTAGAAAAATTTAATAAATTACTGTGACATACTTGGACCAAAACTATGGCTATGTAAAATAAAACCATCATAAACACCCCACGAGCTACTCTGAGATGAAGTCAAAGACTGAAGAAACCACTTTCTGAAAGGAGCCAGCCTGAGAACTGGACACATTAATCCTGATGCTGAAAGGATTTACTTAAAGTCCTGCTATGTTGCTCTTGCACCTCATATTCATACCACATACACCTCAGTGAAGAGGATCAAAGTGAAATTAATGGGATATTTTTCACCTTTTCAGAGCTTCCTTTAGTAGGATTATGAATCCACATTAATCCCAGATGCATTTTGTTTAACCTGACTCTTTTCAATGGCTCATCTCAAACTTGCTTTCCAACAGGACATGGAGGGAAGTAACAAACCTACACTGCGGAGGTCCCACACGTACTAATAGCTCAGCACAAAGACAAAGCTGGAATTGCCTACAGCTCTGCATGTATCCTGAAAAAGCACAATGCTGAATCTGAAGTTTAATGACCACATCACATACTGTTTTCTGACACAACAGAGCTTTTAACCTTCTACTTCAACTGTTTGTTTCACGGTCTGATGTTAAATTTGAATTTTTTATCTCTGGATTTTTTTATTCCCTTGCTTCCCAGTCCCCTTCACAAACAGTGGCCTGATTCTTCAACCTAAGTCCTAGCCATTTATTCCGAAGCAATCTGTGAGAAGTTATGTCCAGAAGAGGACAACATGTCCTTCTACCCTCTGCTCTCAGATGGACCAGAAAACACTTGGGAGAGTTCTGCAGAGCCAGCACATCTCAGAAGAGAAATGACCAGAGCTGAGCAGGTGTCCCGGCCACAACGAAACATTTTGCGTCTGCTTCAGCGCCAGTGCTTCTGCAGTTGCCACTGACATTAGAAAAAGCAATTAGCAGCCACACAACCCCAGCACATCAGAGGCCTCACCTGCTACTTACAGAAGGTGCCACAACCCGGGAGGTTCCCACGTTCAACCCAAACTCACCCATCTCGCCTCATTCATCTCTTGCAGTGTCAGTCTGCTACAGCTTTCACCCAACATGATAACAAGTCTTTAATTGTACAAGTATTTGCAAGTTGCTTTAAAACAAGAACAGGCTCAGTCTTTCTGCTCATATGGCTAGAAATTTACTGCACGGGGACAAAATGAAATACAGACGACCACCTAGAGAAGGAGACATATATCCAGAGGCAATACAAAATTTATCATATAATCGTCTACTTCATGCAAGACCCAAAGGCTCAGCAACCAGGTCTGACAAGATAAAATTAATTAACAACCTGCTTTACTCACCTGGAAAGCGTATATTTAACATCTCAGGCCCTTGAGGGATCAATATTGCAAGCTTCTTGAAACTTAAGAAAAATAACCTGTATCACACAACCTGCTGGACAGCTACAATTAGTATTTCTTCTTAAGCCCATGTTTTATTTTGTTAATTGGATTAATTCCTTCTTGATACCCTGGGCTATGTTCCGGCCTTTTCCTCATTATTAAATAAACCTTTTTTGCCACTCACAAACCTGTAAAGCTGTTGCTCTGTTCATTTTTAGTGACTTGGAACACTCTGTTCTCTCTCATATTTCAGCCCCAATGAAAAACTGCTCCTTGAAAATTCAATAAAGCATCTGAACAGCATGTTCCCATGAAGCAGTTCACCACTGGAGCCTAAGCAAGCTTTTGTTTGGCATCTCCAGTCGGCTTTGGACTAAGATGTTGCCCCTTCTCTCTCCCGAGTGCCAAAAGCATCGAGGTGAGCCCTTGGCCACTGCTTGGTCCAAATCACCCGCCTCAAACAAATCACCCGCCCCGGTTTTGGATGCCCACACTCTGTCACGCTGGTACAGAGAAAACAAACCCTCTGTGTGCCAAGGCTGACCTATATGACAACGTCTGTGACACTTCAGTTTGACAGCTACTCTCAGATATTAGCAAAATCTCCAGGGATCAGCGGCCCTCAGGGCACCCAGGACAGTGTATGGGCGCGTAGGTGACAGTCTGCAGCTTCCCCGGGCTCCAGAGAAGATTGCTTTCTCCTTGTCTGCTTCGGGACAGGGTAAGCAAGGCAGCAGGCAGCTCAGGAGGCCGTGGCGAAATCTTCATCAAGGCTCATTCCACAGATCACAATCTAGCATCTACTTTTGACAACGCGACCCTTCCCAGGTACCAGCCCCTTACAGATTACCTAACTCCCTTAGGGAAAACGCTTGAATTCACACATGGCTGGAAGCAGAAAAATTGGTGCTGCTAAATCATGTTTCCTACTTTCCAAAGCCTGGAGGGGGAGATGCTTGTCAGTTTTTATCCTCTCTTTGAAATCCCTTCAGCTCAAAGAGAATCTCCCTATCTTTTAAATCAAAGACTCTAAGAAATCTTGTCTCTCCCCATTTCTTTAGAGGATCAAGTCACAATAAATGAGCCAATGTGCTCACAGGCAGTACACAAATTTGCAAAACACTCCGGCTGTAAAACATAATGGAAACAGCTGTCCTTTCAGGGAGAATGATAGGGAAGGCAGCAGTAGCACTTTCCTGCGTTGCTAAATGGTTTCCTTTCTGAAGTTCGATATTTTATGAACACTTCAGGTAAAGCAGCTTCCCCATGTCCCTGACTGCTCACACGAAGCCAGTGTGCTTAGAGCTGTCAGAGAGCAGCCCCACTCCTGCCTCCTATCTAAGGATGAAGAGATGAGGCTGAGTGGGGCAGGAAAAGAGAGGAGAAAGGAGGCATCACCCATCTGGAGATATTAAAAAAGTGAGTGGAGAGGGTACTTCAGGACATGGTTTAGTGGGCATGGTTAATGGTTGGACTCTATGATCTTGAAGGTCTTTTCCAACCTAAATGATTCTATGATTCTATGATCTAAGACATACTTTTTCTGGTTCCCCTATTTGCTTTATTATTGGCTGCTGGCTAAATGATCTTTTAGGTCATCTGCTTACTGTAATAGGAGGAAATTAAATATTAATAATAGACTATTTCCCTCTAGACTGCTCTTTGTTAACAAAGGATACAAGTGAAACAAAGCAGGCAAAACTATCAGCACAACATGCTCTTGGTTTTCAGGTACCTGGAGCACTTGCAGTTTCCCTCAACCTTCCCTGGAATTACAGATGCCCAGTGCCCTGCACACCTGCCTGCAGGGACACTCAT